GCCAGCAGTCGCACGGAACGCATCACCATCATCCCCATTACAAGCATCATCATCATCATCATCATCATCATCAGCAGCAGCAGCAGCAGCAACAACAACAACAACAACAACAGCAGCAGCAGCAGCAGCAACAGCAGCAGCAGCAGCAGCAGCAGACCTCTTCTCTCTTGGGTTCGAACCCCAGCGCCCTCATGGCTACCTTCAGTTCCTTGGCGTCTATACACCCCGAGCCATCCGTATCAAACAACTCAAACGCTTCTCTTATTTCTTGTTTCTGCTGCTCTGTTAACTCACGCCGGGGGGCCCCCTGGGGGCCCCCACCACGGGGGCCCCCCAAAGACCTAGAGGCGCTAGCAGATGGTGCGCGACGACTCAGCTGCAGCAGATATACAAACACAAAACAACCCTGATGCTGCTGCTGCTGCTGTTGCTGCTGCTGCTGCTGCTGCTGATGCTGTTGCTGCAGATGATGACGAGGCTCATGGCGATGGTGATGCTGCTACTGCTGCTGCTGCTGCTGCTGCTGCTGTGGATGGAAAGAGGAAGCAGCAACATATCAGTAACTGCTGCAGACAGCCAAAACCCCGTAGAACTCATCGATGCATACAGGGTCACTTCCTGCTGCTGCTGCTGCTGCTGCTGCTGTGCAGCGCAGCAAAAGCAGCAGCAGCAATAAGGAGACAGCAGCAGACGCGGAACAGGAAGAGGATGCCAGACTGCAATTCTCACCATCTCTGTGTGTCGTGAGGAGCTTTATGACCCTCTGCTGCTGCAGCAGCAGCAACAGCAGCAGCAGCAGCAGCAGGGGGAGCAGTCCTGTGTGGCGGCCTCTCGCAGCAGCAAAAGGAAAGCCTTCACTGCTGCATACTTCTGAAATGATGAGAGGAGACACAACGCACGAGCGCAGCAGCAGCAGCTGAGGCGTCTTGGAGGTGCAGCGGACAGCAGCAGCAGCAGCAGCAGCACCAGCAGCAGCAGCAGCAGCAGCAACAGCAGCAGCAGCAGCAGCAGGGG